CGTTTAAATAAAAAAATGCAGAAATCTTAATTGGAAGTCTTTGAGATGGTAGTTAGATGCAGTGTAATCTACAGAATAGTCATTAAAGCAAGATTTGGAACATCTAGGTAGGGGTGCAAATGATCTGAGAGTCTGAGATCTTGTTGTAGAATAAATAGCCTTGAATGTTAAGCAAGGTTCACTTCAGTTTTCAAGCTCAGCCTTGAATACTAAAGTGCTTGGCCCAAAATCTCAAAAGTTTTAGTCAACCACACACACACACACACACACACACAAAGCCCATATATAAGTAACATATCAAAAATACTAACGAATATAATAATAAATTTAATTAGACTTTAATACAGTTGCAAACGACCACCTCACCTTCACGAGACATGCACCTTGCACTTATAGCTATGATCTATAAACATATAATAGAATCGAACAATGTGGTAAAACACAATTGTATCCCATGGTTGTTATTATGCTGGAGAAATGGAAATTAATTTCATAGTAAGGATGCAATAATGCTACATGTGGGTCCAAACCAACGCGGGTCAACCATGGGGAATATGATGCTCTAGAGTATCCATGAAGGAAAAAAGCTCCAGTCAGAAAGTTAATGTCATTACTAGCATTCAAAACTTGACTTGAAAAAACAAAGTTTGTAGATTTCACTTTTCATCCTTGAATTTTAATCTCATGGCTTGCACAAAACAGAGTTGGTTGTTACCTCACTTTACATGACACTAATAGCAGGGACAAACTTTCACGGAGTGCACCAAGCATATATAAAAAAACACTACCTGGAAGCTTTTAGGTTACGGTTTTTGACAACCTCCTCAGATGAATAATTAGTTCCCAACATCTTATTCACATAGCTTGTTCAAGATCAAGTGTCTGACACAGAGATTCCTTCAACTATGTCAATGTTTCTTCATTAATTGTGAATATCCAAGAGGCACGTTTACACAAGATCAATGAGTCGAACAAGTAGCATTCACAAGTTTCTAAACAAAAATTTGAGTTAGTCTAACAAAGTTTAGAAGTTCAACCAAATCAAGATCACTCAATAGCATATCCTAATAACCAAGACTTCTCATTAATCTTCGCATACAGAATCTGCCCAGAGTTTCCCTTTTTTGACATATCTTCATTCATCTCTGTTGCAGTTAAATCCTACATACTAAAAATTTTAATAGATTCTTCCAGCTATGGGTAAGACACAAACAAATTTACCCTCTCTTCTTATCCATATTTGCCAATGACCTAAGATGCTGGAACAAACCCCCTTCCTCATGAAAGTCAAAGGACCAGAATTTCTGAATCAATTTCTGTATTTGTAATAATCCAGTTTTTCCTTGACTACCCCCAATTTCCGTATTCAAGCCAAAAAGATATTTAGAACAAATAAAGGAGAAAAGAACAAAAAACAAATAAAAACAAATAAAAAGGAAGGGGAAGAATATCTAAAAGAATATTTACCTGACAAATATCGCATTTCGGTATGGCAGAGGATGAAGAAGAGATAGGAACTCTCTGATGTTTGCTAGCGAGCTTGTTCGCCGCGTGAACCTTCTCATCACACACCAAACACAGCGCCGCCTCGTCGGCGCAGCACAGCACCTTCGCCTCCGCCGCCTCGCACACGTTACACTGTATCTTCATCCTCGGTTCTTCTCCAGAATCCTCTCTCTCTCTCTAACTCTCTCTCTCAACAAACCTTACTTTGGAAATCACGATCTCGCTGAAACTGCTGTACTCAGTCTCCCTATTTTTCTCCCAACCATCCACATCCAATTTTTCTCCCGAATCCTCCCCTGTTTGTTTAAGGGGAAAATCCAGGTGATCCAGACGGAAAGTCCGAGAAAATTCAGAGATCTTTTCTTTGTGAGAAGGATGAAGAACCAGAAAAAGTGAGAAGGGGTTTATGGTTTAAGAAAGACGGCTGTTAGCAGCTTTTAATTTTATAATAAATTTTTAATAAAAAGTTCAAAAAAAAATAAAAGTGAGGGGAATCGGATATTTTTTGAGGCTGTGATTTGTGGGGAGTGTACGTGGCAGATTTTCTACAATGTCATTAACGGAGGAGACCGCCTCTCTGGATTTGTCCGACTCCGTTAAGCATGTTAGATTTTCTCTCTACAGGTTTGTATTGCCCGTGGGACCAGGAAGTTACAATTTTAACCAACAACAAACAAACAAATTCACTTTTTCTTTTTCTTTTTGCCCCGATGACCTCCTTGCCATTTGGAACAAGGGTCTCTGCTTCCCACTTTCAAATCTCAATGGCATAATACATCCTATATGAGCAAGAAGGTGCAATTATGAGTGGTATATATATAAGATCCTTGATTATCATTGATAATTTGAAATTAAACTTTTAAATATCACATAGATTAACATGAAGAGTTTTTAAGTTAATAAAAATTTTAGTCTAATTTTTAATAGTATTGAGATGATCATGATAGTTTAAGTGTGTATTATGAAATAAATCATCCTTGATAAAGCAAGGGTATAAAGTAGACAAAAATAATATCACTCTAATCAATATAAAAAAATTTTAGGTTAGTTGGTGTTTTAAATTTTTCAAATTTTATTTAAATTTAAATCTAATTATATCATGTTTGAGCTTAATTAAGTTAGAAATTTAAGTAAAAAAAAATACAATTTTACTCTCCCTAGGGATTCTCCTCCCTAGGGTTTCTCTCGTGTATTGCTTCTAGAATTAAAAGTAGTGGCGACGGGTTTTTCTCCCTAAAGTTTTTCTCTAGCAGAGGAGTTCCTTTATCTCTCCTTTCTTCTTACCCCTCCCTTCCTCCTCTTGATCTCTTCCTTCATCTCATCACTGTCTTGCTTTGGAAACTCCAACCCAAAAGACCACAAGGCAATGACTCTTTGGGTTTTCTAGGGTTTATATCTAATGATTTTCAAAAGCTATGATTGGAATTGATCTTACCAGTGAAGTGGGTTTCCCTTATTTAACGAGCAAGAATTTCATTTTGGTGCATCTCCTTGGATGGGATCTTGGTGGGGGTTGAATTCGGCGAATCTACTTCACACCAATTCCGATCAGCTAGCCGATTGCCAAAGGAATGGGATGTTGTTGGTAAAGCCAGCTATGGTCGACATGGGAAGCTTGATTTTTAAGCCAGCAAAAAGGCTCTAGTTCCCTTAATGAGTTTCGACAACATGGGTTTGAAGAGGATCGGTAAAGATGGAAACATGATTAAGAGTATACGGAGGCAAGTAAGGGGCCTTGTGCTTGTCAGGAGGTCTATACCTCTCTTAGTTGTTCTTCTTTAAGAACAAGTAAGGCAACAACTTGTGGGTTGAGAACTATTTATTACCGGAATCCCTTGCTCTCCCCAAGAAATTGGTTAAATAGGTAAAGATATCTAGTAGTTCTTAATGCTCACAGTGACTTATCTTTCTACATTAGTAGCCTTATTTAGCCTATACAGTGATTGTAAATTCAATCCCTAATTGCAGATAGTTCTCTTTACTTAATTATTTATATCCGTTATGAATATAGTTTAAATCTATTATTAGTGCTGTACGTTATGCTTTTGATTTTATTTTTAAGTTATTCTGCTTTTGACTATATATTATGAGATCGAAATTCTACTGTAATTTTTTAGCACTTAATATATTTCTCTATTTCTCATAAAAAAAAAAAAGTTAGAAATTTAGGTAAATTCAATGAGTCGTTTTGATTGAATTGCAACCCTAGCGAACACAACCACGTGAGGTTATGTTGTCCTATCTCATTAACTGTGGTCTTTAATACCATTATCACGTAGTTGAGGAGTTTAGAACATTGAAAAAGTTACTTAGAGGGCTCAATTTTGAAATGAAAGGTTTGTAGGGGCCGGCCAGGTTTTCTTTTCCGTTTGATGGAAAACGCAGTTGACATTTTAAACCCGTAATTGAAATAGAATGAATGCTGAAAACTGAGTTTAAATGAACAGTGTTTTCCAAGCAGTTAATTAATCCAAGAAGTTGTGGCATTGAATGCACCAACAAAAAGTATCATATTAATGCCTGTACACGATATTAATTCAATTGGGTGATGTTTATTGATCAAAATTATTTCCTTCAACAACCGTAATAATCAAAATTAAGATGCTTGGTGAGAGAAGAAATCAAATTTATGGTAATTGAACAATTAGCCCACCACCCGCCTAACTACGTATTTGGCTACTGCCTATATCCTAAATGCTGAAGTACCAATTTCACATTCTTATTTCCATAGACTAATCCATAGTGCTCTAAGTAGTTAGGATTAGGGGTGAGTAATGGATATGAAGATACTTAATATTTATAAGTATTTTAATTTGAATGAATGGTTCAAATTTATTTGTTGATTTTTCTATCTTCTTCCTTTAGAACAAATATTAAGATTGGATTTATTTATTTTTTAATTAATTTGTACAAAAAAATATAAATATTGATTTTAACTTATTTAATTGACTAATTAAAATTATTTGTGGCAATAATGTTAAAATAAAAGTCAATTTTTATATTTTTTTATGTAAATTAATTATAAAATAATACATTTATTACACTCTTAGTCATATATTAGACAAACTTTTTATTTATTTAATTTTTCTATAAATAATTATATTTTTCATCTAAAAAATTGTAATAAATTTCAATTATTTATAATAAAAATATGAATGTGATTCGATTTTAAATTAATCATGATTCAATATAATTGACAGATATAAAAAAAAATAATAAATATATAAATAAATAAATAACGCCGCCGGAAAAAAAATAGTTAAGAGTCAGAAAGAATAAAATAAAGGTTACATCCTTACCCTCACAAGTCCACCGCTTTATGGAATGCAGGGCTATTCAAGTCATTTCGATCGAAACCTCAAAAGTCAAAACTATCTTCAAAAGATCAAAACCAACGTTTTGCGCCAAAATTCGTTCATCATGACATCATCTCATCGTCTTCCTCTGCACGCCCTGCATCTCGATCGCTCTCTCCGATTTCTCTTTCGATAATTATTCCATAGCTCACTGAAACGACCAGAGAAAGCTCAACTTCTACAGTGAATTCGCACTGAGCTTTGAGGTAAAGTAGCTTTGATCTCAGCAGTCTCTTCTCTTATTTCTCGTTCTCAATTCGCTCTCCCTTTCTCGTTTCGATCTCTTTTTTCTTTCAAAATTTCTTGCTAATTCTTGGTTCTATTGTTGAAATCTAGTAAATTTATTCTTGTTCTCTAAATCTCTAGGAATCGCTCTGAGATTTGACTAAGGAACAAGGAAGTAGCAATTTTCAAGACGATTTGAGGTCGATTTTTTGAGGTAAAACCTAGACTTTTTCTGCAAACTGTTTGGTTTCGAAGAAATTTAGGAAGGGGAAAAATTTTTGAGACCTTGAGGGGAAAAGTAGACTTTTCATTGTTTGGGAATCGAGAAAAGGATTGCCGTTATTGAGGCATAGCGTAGAAGAATCGCGTTTATTTCAATTTTTTTTTTTTAATTATGACTTTGTGAAAAAAAAAAAAAATAATGAAGATTAGAATGCCATCTAGCTGTTTGCCTTACCATAAGAGATTCAAATGGAGAGTGACTAGTACGATGGAGTGCTTCATTTGTTAGGGTTGCCATGGTTAAATGCCCAAGGGGATAAATAGATGCTGTTCTTCTCTAAAATGGCATGGATTGGTTTCATATTTGCAGTGGAAAAACTTTTACTCAATCAACCTAATTTAGGAGAAATAGGAAAATTTCCTAGATCACCTTGAGCAATGAATAAGTATCTGCAGATCAAATGTTTGTGCATTTAGGGCTCTGGACCATGGATAGAGATCCTAGGATCAAGGCATATTACTAACATTTTGTAAAAGGAAAGTTTTATTGAAGCCAGATCATAAAAGCAAATTTTCCAGGGAGAATTTTCCCAATTTCCTTCTGAACTAACTGGACCTTACTTACAGTTGTTAAAGTGTCATATGGATTGTACTTCAACCTTCATATTTAGTCCTTTGCGATTGCAATCATTTATCCAAAGTATCTTTATATGTACAATCATATCAGTCTGTTTCACAATTTGTTACTCATGAACAAATTCACCACCAAGCACCTTACAATGTTTGGTTGATAAAACTGAGTAGAAGTTCTTTAGTTAATCAAATTGTTGCAGTATCAGCATATTAAACTTTACTTAAAGACTTATTGGACTTACAAAATTCCTTTAATATTTCTGAATTTGAAGTTCGTGTGGTTTGACCCTGTCAAAAATTCAATTTTTTTTTGGGTAGATATTTTACTGCTTATCCAAATCTAGAATCCAGCTGAAGTGCAGTAACTAGTCTTATGATCTCAAAAGTATGTATCGCTTCACCTATGACAAACCTCCCAACCATTTCAGTTGTAAATTCTATTCATCCAGAGTATTAGGGCCCATCCTGGAACCTGTCCTTAGTTTCCTCTAATTGATGTTGCAACAACCCTTGGCAGTGATGTGCTTAAAAGTTGAAGTAGGAGGTTATATACCCTAGTGAAGAATCTTCTCTTTAACGCTGGGTTTTGGTATGCAGGTATATTTTAGAATTTCTGACTGATATTGACAGTTCAAGATGAGATGCAATGCTTGCTGGCGAGAATTGGAAGGGAGGGCCATTTCAACCACTTGTGGTCACTTGTTGTGTATCCTACTTAATTCTATTATCATGCATTGCAGTTGGATAGATTTTATTCCTAATTTGCTTGATAAGAAGGAAATGGTGCAGTTGAAAAGCTTCCTTGATAGTTGATATTGTGAAAAGGCACTGAAGATGCTAGCAAGATCCTTAGTAATGATGCAGCATGTCCCATATGTGATCAAATTCTCTCGAAGAGGTAAGAATTTGTATGAAGAAGCCTGGAATTGGCATTTTCAAATGGAATAGATTGCTTGCATGCACAACATATCTATTTTAAAAGTGAAAACATAAGTGGCCTGCTATACAATTTCCTTTGCCTTTCTGACTGGATGATGTCTTATAGATTTCATAACCTGTTCTACCATACAAATTTACCTATTCTAATGATTCTTGAGTGTTTAGCACAGCTTTTACTGCCTTTTTCTTACTTAAATACAGTATTTTATTAAGATGGATTCTAGTAACCTCGTCTGGGTTTGCCACTTCTCAGTCTTATGAAACCTGTGGATATCAACCCAAATGATGAATGGATAAATGTAAGCAAGCACTTACTTGCAATGTAATTTTAAGCTTATTTATACTTATAAAGAATCGTGTCTCCATCAGTAAACCATGGTTTAGTTCAGCATTTTCTTCCAGGGTGTTCCTTCTTTATTATTTTATTTAATTACATGGTTGCTTATTCTGGTAATGTGTTTTACTGCAGATGGCAATGGCAGGAGTATCTCCTCAGATATGTATCCTTCTTCTCATTCTGAAACTCAAAATTATCAAAAATTACAGGGGGAAAGAAAGAAAATGAGAATAAAGTTTTGGTAGATCTTTTGAAAACCTTCTTTTCACTTAAAGGAATGTCTACTAAAGTGAGAGTGAGGGTATCAATCAAGTAGAGAGGCTGTTCAGACATGAATTTCCTTACATAAACCTAGTGATGAAGAGTGCATACAGAAGTGTGATGTTCTACATCGGGCAAAAGGAATTAGAAATGCAATACAAGATGAACAAAATTGTAGCTCAATGTCGGCAGAAATGTGAGACAATTCAAGAAAAGTTTTCAGAGAAACTGGAGCAGGTTCATACTGCATATCAAAAAATGGCCAAAAAGTGTCAAGTGATGGAACAGAAGATTGAAAATTTGTCAAAGGATAAGCAAGAGCTTCAAGAAAAGTTCGCTGAGAAATCAAGGTCATTCTATATCTTCTGTTAAAACTAGTATATTTCTCTATATTTATCATATGTTTCTTGAACCTGATAATTTGTCAACTTTCCAATTCCAGACAGAAGAGAAAACTTGATGAAATGTATGATCAATTAAAGAGTGAGTATGAGTCAGTGAAAAGGTCAGCCATTCAACCAGCCAACAATTTCTTTGGAAGAAACGAGCCTGATATTTTCTCAAATCCAGCAACTAACTTGATGGACAGCAGAGAACCTATCAGAAAGGGTAATCCCTTGTTCTTTTGTTTTGTTCATTTATTTATTTGTTTGTTGCAGCAATCAAATAACTTTTTAAGGTGCTTAATTACTTGTATCAAAGGGCAGCATCATTGCAATTTCAGGGAAAAAGTTCTCAGTTCAAGTATTGCACCAATTTAAGTTTTTAGTTTCTTCTCACTTTTGTGATCCCATCTCTAGATTTTAAGTCCTTTTTTTTTTTTTTTTTTTTTTTTGGTAAACATTTCCCCTAGGCAGTTAACTTATTTGTTGCAGATCGGTCATTTTTCTCTCCTGCAACTCCAGGGCCTCGAGAGGATGTATGGCCAGCAAGACAGAATAGTTCAAACTCTGGTCCCTTTGACATCTCCAGTGGTTCACCATTAAAACAAACAGCCATTCCAGTTGATGTTGGTGGTAACAGAAGAGCTGGTACTCACACTGCATTTGGATCAGGTGGCAATAACCCTTCAATGACTTTGAGGAATCTGATAATCTCTCCAATAAAGCGGCCTCAGCTCTCACGTAACCGTCTCAACATGTTCACGTAAGAAATAAAGCATTCTTTATTGACCTCCCTCCTAGCCTAGCTACTACAGTGTCTTCATGAATATTCTTGGTTTTCCAGGTTATAGGCTCAATGCTGAAGGCTTTCACCAGGTGGACTTGGCATGGAGATAGTTTTCCTCATTTTGTAGTTCAAAGAAAGGAAAAGGAAAAATTACAACAAAAATAAATACGTCTATAACAAGATATACGAGAGAATTGTTTTCTCACTGCTGACTTAGAAACTTTTGAGGGTTAAGCAGCTGCTGACATCAAATGCATGTAGAATTGGATAGAAGAATTTCCTGTTGAAGAGGCTCAAACTTGTGTATTTCAAGCATTCTGAGGTTTTGTTGATAATGACAATCATGCGTTGACTAGATGACGGAGATTCGCATCCAAATTGATGAATGCTTGTACTAGGTGAAAAACCTAAATTACCCTAACTTCAATAAATCTACAAATCCCCTTTGGTTGTAAAATTTTGAGATTTACTTACTGGAGTAGGGTTATTGTCCCTTTTTGGTGCCTGTTTTAGGGAGGGCGAAGCTTGTGATAAATTGATAATAACCAAAGGAATTTTGTGCTTAAAAAATAATAAAAAGTTACTTATATAGATTGCTCAACTTAAATCATTAGATAAAGATAAATCTTTTGAAAGGTGGTATGGAGATTTTTTGCCTCATCCAATAATTACTATTTTGTATCATCAGTCATGTGGTCTAATAGCAAAGTTATTTGTACTCTTAAATCACAAGTTTTTAGTTCAATATTTAGTCTTTACATATCAAAAAATAATAATTATTATTTTGTATCTTGGTATAATTTAGGCAACAAAGTAAAACCCAAAAAAACAATTAGTCCGGGCCAAAAAGAATGTAAGCAATTGGTGACCACACAAAGATTCGACAAGTATTTCCAAAATATCAAACCAGCTGGGGCCAGTTAGGAGAAGTCTATTTCTTCTCATCGCATTCTAAATATTGCATTTGCCAAGAGAAGGCACGGAGTATCATCAATTAGACTCTCGCCCAATGATAAATGACCAATAGAAGGTTCCCAATAGTCCTAATTAACTTTGCTATCTCTTGTAGTGGAATGAGCGTATAATTGTGATAAATTTAAAAATTAAAGGGAATGGAAATGAGAAGGTTAGACTAGCTTGAAGAATAAGATTTGATTATGTTGCGTTGTATCACCATCACATGGAATTATCTGTTTTGCATTTAACAAGAATTTAGTCCAATGAATATTCACTAAATATAAAACCCGATTTGAGGCTAAGAATAAGATAAGACTTCGAATTTCTGCATTCAATTCATCATTAGGACCTAGTAAATGTTAGGCTTTGGGTAATCAGCTGTAATGACTTTTCTGTTGGTGGTCCAATGTTGATATCAATGATGCATTGTAAGATGGGCATAAGGTTGCCTGATTTTATGAGTATTGGAAGCAGGAAGTTCTGGAAGTAATTGATGATAACCCTTTACTTCTCCTGGAGGAGTAGTTGCCAACTTGCTGTAGCGAATTAATATCTTAAAAAAATGTTACAAATAATGGAGAGTGGAGACTGCCTCAGTTCAATATCAAACAACTTTGCATGGGAAATATCTTTATAACCAACAAATCTTACAATCAATTGAAGTGATTCATGCTTCGACCAACATGTCCAGGTGAAGCTCGCATGGAGAGGCTCTCGTGTAAGAGAACAGGTTAGAGACATCACCTCCTAGTTTCCAGGGTGTGAAATATGTCTGATATCCACAAGGCAGAATGGAGAGGGGAGAAGAAACAAGTCAAAGCATCCTTTTCTTTTGCTTATAAGGCAGTTGGAGAGATGGGTCAATGATTCAAAATTTTGTATTACCTCCAACATGCCCCTACATGAAAGTGTCAAAATTTTGCCATTTCTGCCTGTCCCATGTTCATTTCTTGGCAAGGACGGAGGATTATAGGAGGATTAATATAGGGGCGGGGGCAGGCGCACGCCCCCCTAATATTCTGCAAAAAAAGATCAATTATATGTGATATATTTCAATGTTGGTACTCGGTAGCCTTCATGTTTAGTTCATAGTCAAATAAGCAATTGATGTTTCATTAATACGTAGCACTAGAATTGCCTTGCGTTTGGCACCTATAGCTTTGGTTGCCTTGTATCAAGTGCGTTGAACTTCTTGCATTTGTTAGAGTTCCATCCGTTGTAATAGCAGTCAAATTATTTCAATTTTCCCACATTCTCTCATGTTCAAAAAAAAAAAGAAAAAAGAAAAAGGGAATTGCCTTGCGTTTAGCTTAAGATTTAGTGGTTGATATATAGGCATGATTAGAAAGTCTGAATTTTTCGGGTTTTGAAATAATGGATTATGGAAGAGTAAATTTTTCTTTTTTTATGCACACCTGGTGTTGGTTGAATTGCGTCAGTGGGATACATATTCTAAACTTTCTGTGTATCCTGTTTTGAGTTCTTTGATAAGGGCATTTAGCACTCTTTTATTGTTGTTAATTTTACATATAGTTAAGTTTTAGTGAATTTATTTTTATCATTAATAAGTACTTAAGTACATATAAAATATAGAGATAAAAATTTAGTTTTGATATGAACCTATTTAACAATAAATTTTTGGAAAATATTTTGCAAATTAATTTTGGTGTTGTTCATGATCCCCCAAATTGATAGGGGAATTTCAAAAACTTAGCTGCAGATTCAATAAGATTTTAAATCTTTAAGAAAAAATAATTAATGATTAATCATTAAAGTTGATTTAAAAACTCAAAGAGTGATTCAAACCATATTAAAAATGCATATTCAAATCTCTCCAACACTATTACAGTGCAAACAATTCATCTAAAAAAAAAAATTACAGTGCAAACAATCACTCCTTGAAATTGGAATTTTACCTTATCTTTGTAGACGAGGCCGTTTACAAGTATTACTAAAATTAATCAGGTCAAAAGCCTAAGTACTCGTATTATTAAAAAACAAAATATACTAACTAATGATTTTTTATACTTTTCTTTTAACTTATAATGGATTTTGGTAAAAAATAATACTAAATTTATTGTATGTTATTTATGCTATAGTTTATATTATATTTTTATCTAATTAAAAAAAAAAATTCGACCCCCCTAAAATCTTAATCAGGGCCTGTCCCTGTTTTTTGGAACAGTTCCAACCTCCAACCTCCAACCTCCAACCATTAAAAAAAATTTCTTTTAACAAAGAGAAATATTACAGGGATGGAGAATTACAAAGAAAAACGCAGGAGGATATTCTACATAAATTTTAAGTGGAGAACTCTTCTTTTTTTCTTTTTTCTTTTTTTTTGGATGAACAAGTGGAGTACTCTTTTACTTCCATTGACAATTTGTTTAATGCAATCTGACATGCTCAGATCCATTACAACCATAAATTAACTGAAGAAGATAGTTGTCCAATTTACATCTTCAGCTTGATCATCCTTGGCCACTGATGTATATCTTGTTTGAAGATTGGATTCCAGCTTTATCTGTCAACTACTCATGTTCACCCGACATGTCATATATGTAGCTTTCAACCAAATGTAAATTGCTATCTACATCTAGCTTTGTGAATTCAAAAGATCTACATCAACACCAACACAGTTCCAAAATATCATTACCTTTTGGATAAGTGCATGCCTCAATTGCTTGGTGACTTTTTTTCAAAATGGAAAGGCAAAGAAAACTGGGACCCTTGAAGATATTTCAATGGTATTGACACTCACATAACTAACCAAACACAGTGGAGATAAAGCGGGGGGGTGGACTTGGGATTATAATTAATCAAATAGATATTGTAAAAGGTTAATTATATGGAAATGTAGAGTGTAGACCTTTGAAGTTCTAGTCTTTCTCAATTTGGTTGTAATTGGTAGTTAATATAGTCTTTTCCAACTTGAAAAATGGGAGAAATTTCAATATTTTACAATGTCGTAAAAAGCGTTAAATGATAGTGAGACGTTATCTTATTGTTTAGTATTAAATGTGTTAAAAGGCTTTTCATTTTCTAAGTTATCAAAAAAATCAGTATACACAAATTTTAGCTCTTTTCTCTGCACGTGAGCCTTTAATATTGAACAAAAAAAAAAAAAAAGAAAGAGAGAAAAAAGGGAAAGGGCTAGAAATGAAACATGGGTTCACCCTATATTGTGGCCAGTTTAACGGGCAAGGTGCATGTTTCACATGTAAAGAGATGGATTAAAATCCTTTCCCCTAACTTTGAAAGGGTTTGAAGGTTAGGCACCTAACTGACATGGAAAGAAACCACCATTGGGTCAAAACCGAACTAGCAAAATGTTGAAAAGTTAGTGATCTAATTGGCACTGAAAGAAACCACGGCTGGGTCCAAACCAAACAGAACTTATTTCAAAAGGTTGTAAAGTTAGGGGCCAAAATGACTATTTGCTAAATCTTTTTTAAGTTTCCCATTTGGTTCATGCTTTCACCAACATGTCCAGGTGAAGCTCGCATGGAGAGGCTCTCGTGTAAGAGGAACAGGTTAGAGACATCGCCCCCTCGTTTCCAGTTCCAGGGTGTGAAATATGTCTGATATCCACAAGGCAGAATGGAGAGGGGAGAAGAAAAAAAATCAAAGCATCCTTTTCTTTTTCTTATAAGGCTGTTGGAGAGATGGTTCAATGATTCAACGTTTTGTATTACCTCCAACATGCCCCTACATGAAAGTTTCAAAAATTTGCCATTTCTGCCTGTCCCATGTTCATTTCTTGGCAAGGACGGAGGATTATAGGAGGATTAATAAAGAGGCAGGGGGGGACGCCCCCCTAAGATTCTGGAAAAAAAATTATATATGATATATTTCAATGTTGGTACTCAGTAATTTTCATGTTTAGTTCATAGTCAAATAAACAATTGATGTTTTCTTAATATGTAGCACTAAAATTGCCTTGCGTTTAGCTCAAGATTTAGTGGTTGATATAGGCATGATTAGAAAGTCTGAATTTTTTGGGTTTGGAATAATGGATTATGGAAGAGTAAATTTTTTTTTTTTTCTGCATACCTAGTGTGGGTGGAATTGCGTTGATGGGATACACACAGGGGCGGAGGCAAAAAAAATTTTCGGGGGTGCAAAATACTAAAATTTTTAAAGTTTAGGGGAGGTTAAATAATTTTTCATATACTAATTTACAAGATTTTCAAATTTCAAGGGGGCGAGCGCCACCCCTCGCACCCCCCTGGCTCCGCCACTGGATACACATTTGAAACTTTTTGTGTATCCTGTTTTGAGTTCTTTGATTGGGAGCATTTAGCACTCTTCGATTGTTAGTTTGACACATACAGTTCAGTTATAGTGAACCTATTTTATCATTAATGAGTATTTAAGTACATATAGGATATAGACATAAAAATTTAATCTGACATGAACTTATTTAACAATAAATCTTTCTAAAATATTTTACAAATTAATATTGGTGGTGTTCATGATTCTCCAAACTGATGGGAAAATTACAAAAATTTTACTTTAGATTCAATTATTGAAGATTTTAAACCTTTAAAAAAGAAAATAACTAACAAATTAACCATTAAGGTTAACTTAAGTAGTCAAGGAGTGATTTGAGCCATGCTAAAATTAAAGGTTTGAATTTCTCTAATAGCATTCGGGTGCAAACAATTATTCTTAAAGGTATAGTTAATATTTATAATTGGAGCGATTTATAGGTGTTACTAGAATTAGTTAAGTTAAAAGTTTAAATTCTCATATTATCTAAAATTAAAATATAATAACTAATGATTTTTTTTATCCTTTTCTTTTAACTTATAATGGATTTTGGTAAAAATGATACTAAATTTGTTTTATGTTTTTTATGCTATAGATAATATTATATTTGCATCAAATAGAAAAAAAAAATTTCAACCCCCCTAAAATCCTAATCAAGCTCTGGCCCTGTTCTTTTGGAACAGTTCCAACTTCCTATCATTATGAAAAAAAATTTTGAACAAAGAGAATGGGGATGGAGAAATTACAAAGAAACAAGCAAGAGGACATTCTATTAATTTTCCCTTTTTAACAAGGGGGAATTTTGGGAAATGTTCGAGAGAAAGAAAAAATATTACAATTGTTCTTATAGGGACTTGAACCCTTGACATAGGTAAAGGAATATATTTTTTTTGATGAACAAGTGGAGTACTATTTTACTTCCATCGATAATTGTTTAATGTGATCTAACATGCTCATATCCATTTCCAACCATAAATTAACTGAAGAAGATAGTAGGCCAATTTACATCTTCAGCTCGATCATCCTTGGCCGCTGATGTGTATCTTGTTTGAAAATTGGATTCCAGCTTTATCCGTCAAGTACTCATGTTCAGCCGACATGTCATATATGTAGCTTTCAACCAAATGTAAATTGAAGAACAAATTACCGTCTACATCTAGCTTTGTGAATTTAAAAGATCTACATCAACACCAACTCAATTCCAAAATATCATGACCTTTTGGATAAGTGTATGTCTTCAATTGCTTGGTGACATTTTTTCTGATGACAAACAATGGAAAGGCAAAGAAAACTGGGACCCTTAGAAGATATTTCAATGGTATCGACACTCATAGCTAATCAAACACAATGGAGACAAAGAGAGGGGGGTGAACTTGGGATAATAATTAATCAAATAGGTATTGTAAAAGGTTAATTATATGGAAATGCAGGGTGTAGACCTTTGAAGTTCTAGTCTTCCTTAATTTGATTGTAATTGGTAACTAATATAGTCTTTTCCAATTTTAAAAGTGAAGAAAATTTTTTATGTCTTACAATGTTATAAAAAATATTGGTATTAAAAAAGTATTATCCTATTATTTAACAGAGGCATACCAAAGAGTTTTTCATTTTAAAATATCAAAAAAGTTGGCATCCACAAATTTTAGCTCTTTTTTTCGGCATGTGAGAGTTTAATATTTGAAAAGGGAATAAAAAAAAAAAAGGGCAGAAATGAAACATGGATTCACCCAATATTGTGGCCTAGTTTAACGGGGAAGGTGCGTCTTGTTTCACATGTAAAGAGATGGACATCATGGACTCCAATCCCTTCCCCTAACTTCGAAAAGGGTTGAAGGTTAGGCACCTAACTAGCATGGAAAGAAACCACCGTACGGTCAAAACCAAACTAGGAAAATGTTGAAAAGTCAGGGACCTAATTGGCACAGAGAGAAACCACGGGTTGGTCCAAACCAAACAGAACTTATTTCAAAAGGTTTGAAAAGTTAGGGGCCAAATTTACCATTTGCTGAATCTTTTCTAAGTTTCCCATTTGGTTCTAAGTTTTAACAGTGAATGCACACAAACAAAAACTGACAGATGGAAGAACTCAACTGAAAATGTTGATAAGTTATAGATCCAATTGGCCAGAAAAAACAAAAGTTTAAATTCCAAATCAAGTAAGGTTAGAGACCAAGTTTATAATTTAGCTGAGTACCATTAACAATTCAACCATCAGTATTCAATTAGCTCCCTTTTGTGTGTAACCTGCAACAACTTGAGATTTCAAGTCAAGATCTCAAGTTCAAATCTTGATGATAGTGAAGAAAGTTTTTGGTAGGGGATGCTATGCCTGTTTATAGCCTACTATCAGATGTGCAATAAAAGCAAATCAATATCCAATTTTAATGCCAATACTCAGCCAACAAAGTAGCAGTAATTACATATGACTAACTACATAGCCAATAATCATTGGAAACACTTAAAAAAAAAAAAAAAAAGGGGTTTCATCACAGCTTATGTTTCTAATAACATACACCATAAGGTTAGTTTCACAACTGAGGCATGATGAAAATAGCTGCAGCCCACCGTGGAAGAGACTTAATTGACACTACCTTCTACCTCTGGAGTCTGGACCTCATTCTGTTCTCTATCTCATTTCCAGTAATGTGTCTAGTCCATCTGAACAACAAAACATACAAATAATTCTAGCAAAGCTCAACCCCCTCAAACGATCACGGGGAGGCAGCAATGGGAAACTTAATAGCAAAAGTTTTGCTCAGAACAGACAAGTATTCCACTTTGTGTGTCATAACTGGGGACATGCATGAAATCCAAAGTTTAACTTAAATAGCATACTTTGAAACTGAACCGGCTCAACTTTGAAAACAGAGGCATTTGCTGAAACATTTAAATTTTGAATTGCACAACCTTCAAAAATAGAAGCAATATGGTATTAGCAAACATCACATGCAAGGAGTAAGATAACTGACATATAAAAGGGTCAAAAAGGAAACAAAAGAAAATCTTTAATAAAACCATTTCAATAGAGACTTGACAGAAATTCTTCTCGGATCAATTTTCTATAACTTGGATTTAGAAACATTTACCTCAACCACTTCCTAAAATTTAATCACTTTCATGGAAATAAAAATTTAATGCAACAGCATTCAGTTCAAAAAGGTATGGTTACAAGAATCTTCAAGGTGTTCAAATGATGGTTTTAATGTCTAAGAACTATTTCAACATAAAAAATAAGATGCTAACAACATCAGATGATGACTTCTAACTCTGTTCAACATAAAAAAAGAAAATTAGGAAATTCACTCTCCCTCGCACACACACAAAAGCAAGTGTGCATGGATGAACACACACATGCAGACTAAAGGAGCTAATCATGTTGAAATGAAATTGCAATTTATACCATTCTTCACTTCAAGCCTTTTGTCTTTTTTCTAATCATGCTTGAATAATAGAAGGGAAAAGCGATCCCTCATCCAATTTATTATGAAACTAAATCAATGCTCAACAAGTATGCAGTGAACACAAGTTACCATTTTCTATGAATGAAAATGGAACAAAACCATTTATTGTTATTATAAAGAACATGAACATTCCTACAGATCAGGAAATACAACTAAAACAGGTCTTGGTGATTCCCGTAACCTGACATCAAAATCACCTTGTAACATTAATCTAGTTGTATTGAACAATTAGACTGAAGGACAACAATAAAAAAAATATGCTAGTACCTTTCTAATCAAAGACCCACTCATGCATATGATGCGATCAATGGTTCTTTGGAATCTCTTCTAGGTTTATAGTAAAAGTACAACACCAATTGTACAATCCCCAAGATAGTTCCTATCGAATTTGGGACCTGAGAAGCCAAAAAAAAAAAAAAAACCAATGGTGAGAGCGGTAAGAACCTGTGAGATCCAAGTATTATATTTCAAAGTTAAAAATCCAACACATGAGAAGAAGAGGAATCTTACATAAATGAAGAGATCACGATTAAAGACTCCATAGAGGAAAAAAGAGGCGTTCATCAAGAAAGTGGAAAGGGATAAATAAAACGGCATAAATTCAACACTCTTTGTTCGAATCACTAAATTCTGGAAAAACATAACAAGATAGAGCAAAGGAAAGAGTTAAAATTAAGCAAATAAGAGTAATATCCACTATAGAAAGTAGCATTAGTTCCTTAAACCAACTCACAATTATGAATAATGGGGAAGCAGACATCGATATGAGAGAACAACAACTCAGACTTCCTACAACAATACGCCGAATTTCTGTGTCCTTTATTTGCAAGCTACAAGCTACAATGATTGCAAACAAGCTAAAGTCTGCCAGCAGTAATCCAAGCATTCTGATCTGCCAACAGTATAAAATCTAAATATAAATGACAGTAATGAGCAATATAAAAGGTTCTCAAAGAACTACAACACAACAAATTGTAAGAAAGTTAAATAAATAAGTTACCTTCTTATCTTTATCGGTATATGTAATGAAGAGGATTATATAGGCTAATTGAAAAAGTGCACCCATTGAATTGACTGTCATCACCATTAAATTACCAGAAGATACTAATGATGTGCCATACCACATGGTGATCAAGCAGTTCAGGAGGGCATAAACATATGGCAGTCCTGAGAACTGCTCTGTTGACTGGTTTCTGATAATTCTCCTAAATGTGGGTCTGAAGGTTCAAAGCAAAAGTGAGTACGAAGCTGCTCAGTTATGACTTATAACACAAACCAAGTCATTTCTTACATTTTAAAAAAATACATGGCAGTAGAACTTACATAGGTGACACAAATAGCCCAAGAGCAAAGATGTTTCCTACAACAAACAAGTATCAGCATAAAAAAAGAGTTAATTTCCCAGTTATATATTTGTTTATAAAATGTAAATATAAGAAATTTATAGTATCCACTTCTAATTATAAACTGAATACAGTGAATAATTACAATGAATGGTTTTAAATGCCTAAATTTGTTCTTTAGGACACAGCACATCTTGCTCCAACAAAGCATCTTGCATACAAACTCAAGCAACATCACCCCATTTTAAGGTTCATCACCGTTTCCATAAGAAAAAATAAGAGCTCTATTAATTACTCAAAAATTAAAATCAATGGTAAATGAAAGGAATAATAATACCAGAATGATACCAGAATTTTCTTCAAAAAACGAATAATACTTAGCTAATTAGGTAGTATGAAATAGAATTTACAAGATTACTTTCAAGCATGCTTGCAGATGATGCCTTCCATTGGTCATCAAAAAGTGTTGGTAAAGGACGGAGAGTTGTTCTAGTTATTGGTCAAGAAACTTTCTACCCCATTATTTATAAAAATTATTAACCTTCAAATGTTGGAAGGGGAAAGGTTCCTCAATTTCTTTGTTGAAAAATCAATGAAACTTCAACTTTCGAACATTCCCCCAGACCCAGAAACTGCTAGCCCTTCATGTTCAACACAATCCAAAAGACAACAAGATTCTTAAAAGATATAGAACTAGTGTGAATCTCTTGTTTCTAAATTCTTCAAAATTAGAACAAGAAGCAGGATCCTCTTACAATGGTTCAAGGGTGAGCTATAATTTTAAATACATCAATATTTTGAAAAAGAAAATTTAACTTCAACCACGGGAAGTGCATCCTGACTCTTAGAACAATTAGAACAATGAGTTTTCTTTATAAATGCCCAACAGAAACAGAATGCCTCCTCCAAATTGATTTAAATAAAACAGAAACCAACCAACCCAAAATTCTAAACAAGAATGCAATCATGGGTTCCAACTTCCAAGCATCTGATAAGAAATCAAAGAAGTGAAGCAGACATAGGAAGAGGGAATACCAGCGACCCCAGCTGCATCCTTGCAAATGGTGTAGCCATCGGCTAGAACAGTAACAAACATCAATCCTTCGAACAAGTATACTCCAAGGAAAGGAAATCAAAAGAAAGAAAGCAGAGCAGACCAAACTTTCATCACAGGAACCAAAACCTTTACATTATTTATGCCATTTTTAAATTATTGTTTCTTCTCTCTCTAGAAGTACTGTCTCTGCCATCATAAGTCTCTTTTTCTCACGTTTGGAATTTGGAATATGTCTAGAATCATTGAAGGCAAAATCTATGTTAAGCCCTCAAATTTACCCCGTTTTAGCAGATGAGACCTTAAAGAAATGAATTTTTTAATATTTGTCTTGAGTGCAATTATTTCACATTTTTATTATTAATTAATATAAAAAAATAAAAATTAATTTTATTTTTATTAATTTTTTAATTAAAATATTTCACATGATATTAATATTAAAAATAAAATCTATTTTTATATTTTTCTATACATATTAATTATAAAATAAAAAAATATTTTATAAAATAGGCTGTACAAACACTTTTTTCTTTTAATTGTTTCAATTTTTTATTTTTAAATTCTTTCTTAATAATAGGAAAAAAAAATACCATCCGAGTTCGAATCACCCTACTCCTAGTTGCAATCCATTCAAAAGAAAAAAAAAATGTCACCTGAGTACTGGCTGCATGGTGTAGCTAGCATGGTCCTTACATCAAATCTGCCATCATGTTAGGGACAACCATTGGTTTCCATTAAGTTAAATGCAGGAGTCAAATGATACGCTATAATTCCTTTGAAAGTGCCCCAGTGTTTAAATAATAAAGTAATTAGAAGAGTGTCAAACAGATTAATTAAATATTAAAAATAATTAATTTATATTTATTTAAATAAATAAAAAGAAAGAATTTTTAATTAAAAATAAAAAAAATTAAAATAAAAGTAATTGAGATGTGAGACACAAAGACATTTAATTTTATTATAATTAATTAATATGCTTTTAAAATAAATTTATTAAATATTATTATATATGATCGTGGATTTCTTATAATTATTAATCATGAAACTTTCTCAAATCAAATTAATATTTTTTTTATTTATTAAATTAATCATATTTTTATATAATTTATAATTTAAAGCAAATTGATGGTAACACTTGGTGCGTTGGCCGAGTAATTCTTGTCATCTTGTTAAGGTGTCATTATTTTTCTCTTTAAAATTGAGTTTAAACTCCCATAATACGTTGTTTAAAATTTAAATAAATAAATAAAAACACAAATCGGTGGGAAGCATTAAGTAATGAGAAGTTGCAATTTAATTCTTAAATCTCTGATCCATTCGATTTGGTTCCAATTTCACGAGTTTATTTATCTTTTAACTTTATAAAATGTAGCAATTTAGTCCGAAAATTTGTGATTTCTTCCGGTTTAGTCTTTTTTTTGCATAAACTATAAAAGTCCAAAAAAATCACCATAAAACCCATTAAATATCAATCAAATCAAGGCAAAATTAACAGAGTAACATATAAGAGAATTCAATTTATCACAATTCAGTCCTTAAACTTATTAAATTTAAGATAAATTTAATTTTTGAACTTTAAATATTTTATAATTCTCTACCCATAAACTGAAGGCAAGAAAATGAAGATGGTATTGCGGTAGATACAGGCAAAGAGCCAAACGCATGATCAAATCCCTAACAAAGATCTCCAAAAATTGAAATCATGAAAAAAAAAAAAAAAAAGCAATGTGATTTTGCTAGAAGACAAGAAGACATTTTACCAGAGCTTAATAAAAGGATATCAAGAATTGCATTATTGGCAAAGGAAAAAAGAAAAAAGAATTCAGTTACTCTCACATAAACCAATGAAGAAATAAAAGATCTTATAAAGTGGGATTTGAAATTTCTCCAATCTTGTAAGATTTCTAGGATCTTTACCTATTTGGATATGAAACATACAAACTGAATCTTTTTAATCATTAATTGTTGGCAAAAATAATGAGAAGAATCAAAACAAATAAAAAGGGTAAAGCTTGAATGTGTACAACTTGATCTTAATCACACAAAAAATGTGATTTTAATATATTTTAATTGAATTTAAGAGCTGGGCCTTATAAATATATGATTTTCTAAGTGATTTATATAATGTAATTGGGTTATTAATGTTAAAATCAAATTAATTTCCTATTTTACTCCCTGTGTTTTCCATGGAATATCTTGGAGGAGAAAGTGGATTACAAACTATGGAAAAGCTTCTCATGTGGGAATATGCATACCTTTATCTTCCTTGACTGGGCGAAAAGCTTTAGCAACTTTATTCATCTTTGTTTACCTATCCTAGTTTTATTGTCACTATGTTCATGTTTATAGGTTTTTGGCGAGTGTATGAAGCTTAGTATCTATGTAAGGTAACTTTGACTGTATATCAATATATATTATTTTGTATTGACAAAAAAAAAAAAAAACTTGAATGTGATTTTATTAAAAGTTACATGATTTTTATTGTTTGTGCAAAAGGACCAAAATGCATGAAATTTGAAATTTTGAGATTTAAGTGCCTCTCCTTTAAAAACTTAGGAACTAAATTACAAGCAAAAATTGAAACTAGGGATCAAATTGAATGAATTTGAAGTTTAGGATCAAAGTTTATAGGAATGGAAAGTTAAGACACCAATAATGTTATTTTACAATTAAAATTTGGGAAATTTTATCCTATGGGCGGCCGCCTTACCAGATCTGTCAATGAATGGATGATTTCTTGACCCTTACAAAGTTGACTTATCCCCTCGGAAGCCTTACCGGTTTCAATTGTACAGTATAACTCATAAATTGTATGTTATTATTCTTATAACATATGGTGTTACTGTTTATTCGTTTTATTTTTAAAAAATTAAAAGAAAATTATTTAAAAATTATATTATTTTAATAAAATATAAATTAAAATATAAAAAATATTTTAATTTATATTTTATAAATAAGATTTTTTAATTTTTTAATAAGTATTTATTAAAATGACGTAATTTTAAAATAATATTTATCTTAATTTTTAAAAAGTAAAATAAAAAATTACTATTCTCATAACATATTTAAAATATATAATATATCCTCACATGAGCTATGTAATTGTTTTTATTTTATATTTTTTCCTTGTTAGTGTTATATTAGTATAAAAATAATGAAACTGCGAAAAATCAAGATGTTTTGATGTTTAACACATTAATCATGGTTGTTGATTTTGTGGATTTTAATTGGAGGTTCATTTATTTGATGGTTGTGATAGAGATCTTGACATCAAGATGTCTGGACTTTCATATTTTTCAAAAATAATTTATATAGATCATAAAAAAAAGAAAATATATTAAAAATGAAACTCATGTATGCTGTGGGCAACAATTTGCTTGAAAAGTTCAAATGGATCACATTTATATTAATATGGTACTAATGAAGAATAAGTAGAAGAATAAAGACAACTAAATAACTTAGGGGATAAGATTTTATTTATTTTAAAATAATTATATTAATAATATAAAATTTTAAATTAAAATATATAAAATATATTTTACAAAACGAATGGCCTTTTCTTTTTTTTTAATGAAGAAAATTATAATATTAAGTTAACTTAATATCTGTTTTAAATAATAAGTCAAACTCAACCTTAAAAAACTGAGGGCGCATTTTACCTGTTTTTCAGCGTTGTTGTCAGCTCGCCACATGCGGAGAATGCAAAAACTAATGGTCTTAAAAGGTAAGCAATTAACGGCTTTGGAAGGAATTATGTCGTTTAAAATTAAGAGACATTTACGAATTTTTTAAAAATAAAAAGATGATAATAACATTTTACAAAATTCAAATAGATTGACCACGTTATAACTCC